GTCAAGCTGATGTACCAAACTAGCTATAGAATTTTTAGATAGATTTTGACATAGAATTTCCATTTTATTTTCGAATTGGTTTTAACTTTCAGATAGTCAGAATTAGAATTAGAAGTTTATTTTGTAGTGACATACACATTATTGTATGAACGTACAGTTCACTTGTAAAGTATCAATACCCTTTGTAATAAAAATATTTGTAATGGCTTGCACATTGCTTCTTGTTTTGTGGCTGTGATTATGAGAAACTTTTGCAGTCAATTACGAGAATATGATGATTGCAATGCAACGATGATGTTGAATAATGCCTACATAACTATATTATTTGATGACCTGCATGTGCAGCAGGGCATGATAAAACAATCCAAATCAAAATGATGAAATACAACAATGTACGACGTCATACGGGCATGTCTAGCAGAACGTATATATTTGTTTAGACACGTTTTTGAGCGTGCCTATGTAGCGTCTCAAGTCATGTAGACACGCTTTTGAGCGTCCCTATATAGCGTCTCATGTCATGTAAACACGCCATCAAGCGTGTCTAAATCTTTGAGATGGTCCGTGTGGAGACGCTCGAAGGACGCTTTACTAAAACGACTCTACAATTGCCTAGAGATGAAATACCACGTCACTAGCTATGTAATTTGACGTCTCTATCGGCAGGTTTTGTTGTAGTGTGGTTACGTAGGTTAGGCAGAAGACTGGGGCAGTGGTGTATGGGAGAGCAAGTTTGGAAAGGTGAAGTCTAGGAGGGACGGATTACGAAGGGCATCATGTTGGAAAAAGGTGTTCCGCCCATTTCCATGAAGCGCGAAACTAATATTATTCTGGGTTGAAGTGTTGATTGCAATAAACTTCCACAAGTATGAAAGGGTGAGAGCGAGGAGATTCAATTGAGTGGTAGTTTTCTTCAATAAGACCTTTAATGCAGGAGAGGCTAGAGGGGTGAAGAACCTTGTAAAAAAATCTAGGAGCATGCGTTTTTTGGGTAGATAGGGTTTTGTTGTTGAGACCACAAAACCTTTTAGGCTTGCAATTTTTTCCTTTCTAGGCAATGAATAGCACAGTTACAAGTTTCTTTGCTACCCAAAACAAGTTCTCCTAATTCAATAGAGAGAAGCACATATTTTGGGACAAGGAAATATGCCATAAAATAGATAACTAAACAGTCAAGGACAACAAAACTAACATTAAACAACCTCCCTTAGACATAAGCTTAGCTTTCCAACCAGTTAGGTATTTTTCTCATTTAGCAATAATGGGAAGAAAGGGAGAAGAGTGGAATTTCGTGGAAGATATTGTAAGATCTAGATAGGATTTGAGATTGAAGAGATGTCATGGCCGAGCAGAGGTAACATTATATATCAGATCACCAGGAATGTGGAGATGGATCGATGAAGCTAGGTTTTGCTGAAGTTGAAGGCTATGCCAGTGGCAGTGGCAAAATTATCTAGAAATTTTTTCAGGGTAAGAGCTACAAAGGAGGCTTTGACAATAATTAGGATGTCGTCGGCATACTGCAGGATGGGTGATAGGAGAGTGTTTTTAAGGGGGGTGGGAAAGAAGGTGGTTGTGATGGCCTTTAGCGAAAAGTCTCTAAAGGTGCTCAATGACGATATGATCAAGGGAGGCGTGAGGACCCAAGCAGCCCGGGCCTCCGCCTAGGGCGTGGAGAAGAAACACTTCCTCACTATAGATACTATAGCACTATAGCACAATGTAGAACACTATAGCTATAGGTGCTGGCACGGGGCGTGTGATGTTCCTGACTCCGCTACTGGCGATGATACATGTATGGGGGGGGGAGCGGATTCCCTTAGTGAAGACTGGTTTTTTAGTTTATCTTATCTCTATAGACTTCATGGAGGAGGATAGCCATTTTACCAGTGGAGAGGATTTTGTGGATCCAAGAATACGAGCGCGAAAGGAAGCCACGAGCTTTAAGATGAGGAGGATCCTAGTCAATGGAGTCGAAGGCTTTACTAAAGTATTGCTTGACCACCTCGGCGGGAGCTTTTGGGCATGATAGTAGTTTTGAAGTTCTATTGCAAAAAAAACCCTGAGATGAAGCATGCGTGGTCACTATTCATGAGGAGGGGATGATGGGTTTAAGCCTAGTGGTTAAGAGGTTATGAATGACTTCCATGGGGCAGATTTGAAGTGATAAGGGCCGAGCTAGAAGTGTCATTTTTAGGAGAAGCACGATATGAACTGGGTTGAAATGTTTTGTCTAGAGAGAGGAGTTGTCGAAGGAGTAGAATCATGAAAAGATGAGGGGTTTGAGATGACTCTAGTATTTTCTATAGAAACCTTGGGGTAGAACTGCCAGGGCCAAAGCTAGTATTTAGGTTCATAGAATTGATGGAGTATGTTATTTCCCAGTGGAGGTCGACAAGATAGTGAAGTTGGGGAATAAGGCTACGGTAGGCATTTGAGAGAGGAAGTTACATGTAGAGTTGGAAGGGTGACCAAGACCAAGAAGGTTAGTGCAAAAGTATTGAGAATGTGTACTTACGGTGTTGGGGAAGCACACCAAGGTTGGCACAAGAAAGGGGCGGTATTTTGACGCACGGCCGACTGATTCAGCATAAACATATGTTATACTAAATCATCCATAATTAATATGGATTAGAGGGGTTTTGTACTAAATCAGCGTTAATTAATTTGAATCGGAGGGAGTACTAATTTTCTATGGGTTCATTAGTATGTAATGTTTGCCGAAGGTTTGTAGGTTAAGCCCGTTAGAGCGAAACGAAAGCCTAAATGACAGTTCTTGCATGTGTTTGATGGGGTGGGGTGATCGGATTCACTTTGTTTTTGGACGGCAATGCTGCTAAATTTCATATTTTATTTGTAAACGGATCTTAAAAAGGGAGAAATTTTGTTGTAACAAACAGGGACCAGTACGTACAAATACAAATAGTAATGAGATGGGATTGGTGATGTCAGGTGGAACAGGGAATCTTGACCAGTAGTCAATGGCCTACTGTTTCCAAAACTATGGATACAATATATGTACGTACGTGTATATTCCAGGGACACACGTATATGATATTTGTGCACAGCGTACCATATTTCATGTCGTCTACAGTAGTAACATGAGTGGGCTGTTCCTTTGTGCCTCATTTTTCTATCAGTGCCCGTGCAACGCCGATGGAAGCACCATCCCATCCTAGTTGGCCGGCCTGCAATGGCAGGATTAAAAAAGAAGAAGGAAGTGGCCATCACTCCAGATTATCCTGCAGTCATGTCATGCAGATGCAGGGCATGGAAGGAATTACATGCATACACTCTTCACAAGATGCATAAGTAAGTACGGCCTCCTCATGCAGTTCTCTTGCATGTTTCGCTTTCTTTTTTGCCTCAAGTCAAACTTAACTTTGACCAAGTCTGCAGAAAAACATCAATACTTATATATCTTTGTCAAATGTACATCAACATATTGCTCCTAAAATATGTATTTTTAAAATATTTATTTGGATTTATTAAGTACTCTCTTTGTTCACTTTTATAAGACCTTGTAGACATTTCAGACAACATGTAAAACAGGTCAATTTCAGTTGTCTGAAACAACTTATAAAAGTGAACAGAGGAAGTATTATATTTATTAGGAGATATTAAGTATTGATAGTTTTTCTATATATTAGTTTAAATTCAAAGAAGCTTGACTTGAGATAAAACCTCAGGCATGTTTTTTGAGGATGAATACTAGCAAGTTTTGTTTTACAAAATTAAGTCAGCGGTCGATACATGTAAATTTGGTGGAAGCATATGCGTTACTACAGGGACGGTATGTGTTATATAAGGCTCGAGGACAGAAGAGTTTATGGAGATTATGACTTGGTAATTAAGACTTAATCTTCACGCTATTGACACCCCGTACATGATTGTACAGATAGAGATCAAGCCCAATTAAACCGACCCTAAGATTTTAAATACGCACCCCACACCACTGAAAAAGTAGCGCGCTACAGCGTTCTGAATCATGTCTCGCTAAATAAATAAGTGTATAATGTCTTACTAATAACACGCAATAGCACGATATAGCACCTAATGACGTATTTTAGCGGCGGCACTATTTTGGTATAGCGTGCTATTTTTTCATTGCGCCACACACCTTACACAACATATTTCAACAATACACAACAATTAATCTTTTGTGAATTTAGCCATGGCAGGATAGTGAACACAATCAATTTGATTCGACATTCTTTGTTTCTTATAAACGGCGAGGCCTCTGCGATGTTCCGTATGAGGCATAACTAGGAAAATTAGATCCTGTTTGGAATGTAGGAAAATTCCCAGACAGGACCAGATACATCATCTAATTCAAAGTTGACAACATATAAGGAAGGCAATTCAAACCTAACCAAGAAAAGCCACAGAAAAACCAAAGAAGAAAAAAATGATGGAGCCATCTTGTTGCCTTCCTAGCCACCACTCTCTCCCTGTCTAAAGCTACCCTACCCAACCACCCCTCTCACCATCACTATACCCCCCACCTCACACCACACCGCCTAGCTAAAAGGTTAAAACCTATCTCCCCCATCCACCCCATCCCCCTCCCCCTCCCCTTCCTCCTCCTCTCCCTCTCACCTCCTCCAGCGCCATCCACTGTTCCTCCATCCCCATCTCTCCCCCCCTCCATCTTTCTCTCTCTGCAGGTTCTCCAGGATGGATTGACCACCTGAGCATGGCAATCATGGGCTGCTGCTGCTGCTTGGGTGGGCACATGATTGGATCAGTCCTCACCACCGGCCGCTAGGCTCACACTCGCCTGCCAAGATTCCAGCACGCGCATGCACACGCGCTACGGATTTCGATCGATAGACTACTGCTGAACCAGCAGATTCAGGTATATATGCATCTCAACGCGTCTCCTTCACTTCCTTCCTCTCTTGGATCGATCGATCCATGTTCCGTAAATCTCCTGACCTAGCGAGCTCGCTTGAATCGGAGCAAGAAATGATGCGTCCTTCTTGGTTGGCCATGTCGCAATGCGCAGGGAAGCTAGTGAAGGAGAGCTAGCAGGGATGGATCACCACCATCACCACCACCACCACCATCATCACATGATCCCTGGACAGGAGCCTTCGGCCGGGGACGGTGCACCCCAGGACAACTTCTTCCTCGGCCCCGCCGGCGTCGGCATCTTCGGTGGCGTCGGCGGCGCGTCTGGGGCCGGCTCGTCCTCGTCTGGCGCCGCGGGGGGCGCCGGGACCTCGGCGGGTGGCAGTGGCGGAGGAGGCCCGTCGCCGTCAGGGTCGTCGCCGTCGCTGAGCCGGTACGAGTCGCAGAAGCGCCGGGACTGGAACACGTTCGGCCAGTACCTGAGGAACCACCGGCCGCCGCTGTCGCTGTCGCGGTGCAGCGGCGCGCACGTGCTGGAGTTCCTCAAGTACATGGACCAGTTCGGCAAGACCAAGGTGCACACGGCGGTGTGCCCCTTCTACGGCCACCCGAACCCGCCGGCGCCGTGCCCGTGCCCGCTCCGCCAGGCCTGGGGCTCCCTCGACGCGCTCATCGGCCGCCTCCGCGCCGCCTACGAGGAGAACGGCGGCACGCCCGAGATGAACCCCTTCGGCGCGCGCGCCGTCCGCCTCTACCTTCGCGAGGTGCGCGAGACGCAGGCGCGGGCCAGGGGGATCAGCTACGAGAAGAAGAAGCGCAAGAAGCCGTCGTCGTCTACGTCGGCCGCCGCGGGGCCGTCGTCCGAGGGGAGCCCGCCTCCTGGCCCGTCCGGCAGCGGCGGGGGCGACACGTCGGCGTCGCCACACTTCATCATGCCGTGACTCGGTGACTGTACCGTGAGTTTTCCCTAGCTAGGTGATCCATCTGAGCTAGCTAGCCGCCGCGCAACTTCTCTCCTTCTTGGGATGCCTGCAGTGCTGGTTCATCAACTACGCCAAGGCCGCCATTGTTCTTTACTTGCCTCCCCAATTGGCTTCTTGCATTTTGCAAAGGATTTCTCTCCTCCTTAATTTCCATTTGTTTCACTTCAAGTAAGGTCATTCGTGACGAGTACTAATTTGTGTCGTTGCTGTTAATTCTCTCTAGATTGAGATCAATTGGTAGCTGTTTGATTTTGTTTCTGCCTGTTTCAGTTTGCTAGCTCCTCGTGAGAATCTCTAGCTAGTAGTAGTGAACTAGTGACCAGCGAGTCATTTTGGCATTGGAGAAACTTGCAAGAACAAAACTAGCATCGAACTATATAGAATTTGCTCTTGCGAAAAGAGCTTTGCTAACTAAGCCACAAGTACTTGTTGTATTGGCAGCAATGCTTCATTCATCGATATGTACTACTGCCGGTGGTTCCCATTGTTAGGAGAGCTAAAAAGGCACAGTTGAGTGATTTTTTGTCATGGTAGCTAAAGACAGGAACAACATGTGTTTGTGTACTTGTCTTGCTTTAAAAAGTGTACTTGTCCTTGAGCATCCATATGATCTATATATTGTCCAATTGCAAGTCATATATTTTTTTCCTATATGCTATGGCTTGTTGTGCTAGCATTGTCACAAAAATTACAAAATTACTGCTTGCTGTTTCCTCAATATGCAAGGACATGTAGTGCTAGTTTGAACGATATGTAGTACCAGCTAGCTATGGGCAGCAAGCTTCACTTTTGCAGCACTGTAGAAAACTGCAAAGGGGCAACAGATAGATGAGGAAACAAACAAAGCCATGCAAAAGAAGAAAAAGAGAGGAGTCTTTTGAAAAGAGCAGAGAAAAGAAAGACGGGCAGGCACTAGAAATATATATATGGTTTCAATATCATCTGGCAACCCCTATTTTAGCCCATGCTTTGATGTTCCTGGCTCTCTTTCCATGTTCATGCTAGGATTACTGGATTTGGCTTGATTTGTCTTGGTTTGTCCCTTTCCTGATTTGAGTAGTAGAGATGCTAGATATATGCATGTATGCACACGTATATTTCCATCATGCATGCATGCCTTCAATCAATCATCAACCTGGAGTAAGAAATACATATGCTCTTTGTGGTTAAAGTTAATTTGCTATCTTTGTTAGGCTTCACAGTTTATTCTTTCTGCCTGAAAACTATGGAAGGCAAGAGCCTAGAGCACATTCAGATTCCTGTTTAAACAGTTCTTGCCTATCACTATCTTAGATTTTGCTTGTCCCTTCAATGCATAGTTGAGAAAAAAGGGTTTTCTTATGGAGAGGGAACGGACAAAATCTATCCTATTCCTTCTGCTACCCTGATAAGGGTATTGTTTATGATCAGATGCATTGTTCATATATCCCATAACCTTTTTTTCCTTCATAAACAACCAAATTGTAACAAGAGGATATGATCGGCTGCTTGGTTAATGTGGTAACTCCTGATGGAACTTTAGGATTCATTTTTTTAAAACACGTAGCTTCAATTTTAATTTGAATTTATATCTATAAACCATTAAAACATGCATGATTGGAATTTAAGTCTCTCTGGAGAGTATTCTAGATATTTTTGACTATCTGCCTCCTTGACTGTGTGTACTGTTGTACTAGCTCCAAATGGTTTGGATTGGAGTTTTGACGTTATCTCTGAAACAAACCAGTATATTCTTTTTATTAGAATAAATCCACTATATATTCATAGAGTAAGTCAGAGAGTATATATTAATTCTTGAAATTAAATGATAACCTGATAATATAAATTTGTACTTTATAGGTATGGCTAACTCTTGTTAATATATCCAAAAGTAGTTTCCATATCTCTAGGTGTTCGTTGAAAGAACTGCAGCACAGTAATATTTGTGCTTATGTATCATCTTTTAGGTTATTTCTTATTTGAATTACTTTGTTAAAATACTACTCCTTCCGTCCCATAATATAAGATCGTTTTTCAAGCCATGTTAGCTTGAGAAACGATCTTATGTTGTGTGACAGAGGGAGTATTTCATAGGCGAACAGTTTTGTCATAATTAAATTTACTGCACATAGGATGGAGTGATTTATACCTACACATCTTCAAAAGGGAAATCTGGATTTGTATGTCCG